TCCTCCCAAAACAAGCTTTCTAATCTGAATTTCAAGAAAAGTCAGAAGGAGTTAGTGATCTAGAGGAGAAAAGGAGTCAAACAGAGAAATTTGGGAGAGAAAGGAGCTCACTGACCCAGAGACCTTCTCTCTAAAACTTCTCTCTAAAAACTCCAAAACTCCTGAAGGCCCCCAACCCCCTATTTATAGACTTTCAGATTGGCCCAGAACGGCCCGTGGCCCGTTCCGAACTCCGAAATCACGCACAAAATTCACGTCCAGAACGGCCCGTTCCGGGACTTATCCGGAACGGCCCGTTCTCCCTCCAGAACGGCCCGTTCTCCTTCCCAGAACGGCCCGCTCTCAACTACAATATGTAGTTCAATTCAGTAGCTTGGAACGGCCCGTTCCAGTTTGGGAACGGCCCGTTCTGGGCTACTGAATCAGCCTTTTTTTATTTTTTATTTTTTTTTAACAATGTTACAGATACCATCAGATCAAGGTGAAGGAGAGTGACATACCAAAGACTACTTTCAGGACTAGGTATGGTCACTATGAGTATGTAGTGATGCCTTTTGGTGTCACTAACGCTCCAGCGGTGTTCATGGATTACATGAACAGGATTTTCAGGTCATTCTTGGATAGGCTTGTGGTGGTCTTTATTGATGATATTTTGGTGTATTCTAGATCCTTGGAGGATCACCGTGAGCATCTGAGGTTGGTCTTGGAGGTGTTGAGGGAGAGACAGTTGTATGCCAAACTGTCCAAGTGTGAGTTTTGTTTGTCCGAGGTGAAATTTTTGGGGCATGTGATATCGGTAGAGGGGATTGCAGTGGATCTAACAAAGGTGGAGGTTGTGATTTAGTGGGAGCGTCCGAGGACTACTACGGAGATTAGGAGTTTTGTTGGGTTGGTGGGTTATTATCGGAGATTCATTGAGGGTTTTTCTCGAATAATAATGCCTTTGACTCAGCTGACTCGAAAGGATCAACCTTTTGTTTGGACAGACGCTTGTTAGCAGAGTTTTCAGGAGTTAAAGAGACGGTTGACTACTTCTCCAGTTTTGGTGTTACCTGACACTGGTGAGCATTTTGATGTGTTCTGTGATGCTTCTCACCAGGGGTTAGGTTGTGTGTTGATGCAGGGAGGGAGACTAGTGGCATACGCTTCGAGGCAACTTAAGACTCATGAAAGGAATTATCCTACTCATGATTTGGAGCTTGCAGCTGTGGTATTTGCCTTGAAGTCGTGGAGACACTATCTGTATGGTGCGAGATTCAGTGTATTCAATGATCACAAGAGTTTGAAATACTTGTTTGCAGAAGGAGCTGAATATGAGGTAGAGGAGGTGGATGGAATTCCTAAAAGATTTCGATTTCTAGTTGATGTATCATCCTGGAAAGGCGAATATGGTAGCAAATGCATTGAGTAGGAAATCCATTCACATGTCGATTATGATGGTTAAGGAGTTGGAGCTGATTGAGCAGTTCAGAGATTTGAGACTAGAGGTGGAGGTTGTTCAAGATCACATTAGTTGTGGTATGATCACCATAACTAATGAGTTCTTGAAGCAAGTGGGAACTAAGCAGTTACAGGACCTAGAGTTGTTGAAGATTTTGGGATTGCTTGGTACTGAGAGGGCAGATGGTTTTGAGCTTTGTGCTGATGGAGATTCCCGAGTGGAAGTGTGATAGTGTCACTAAGGACTTTGTGGTTGGGTTGCCTAGGAAAGCTAGGAACAGTGACTCTATCTGGGTGATTGTGGATAGGTTGACAAAGTGTGTGCACTTTCTTCCAGTCAAAAGGGGGTCCTTGGAGAGGCTTGCACAATTGTATATTAGAGAGATAGTACGGTTGCATGGACTGCCTTCCAGTATTATCTCTGACAAAGATCCAAGGTTTACTTCCAGGTTGACAGACTCTGCATCAGGCTTTGGGGACGAGGTTGAGGTTGAGCTCCGCTTATCATCCATAGACAGATGGTCAGTCGGAGAGGACAATTCAGTCATTGGAGGATCTCTTGAGAGCTTGTGTGTTGGATCATCTAGGTAGCTGGGAGGAGGTGTTACAATTGGTAAAGTTCACTTATAATAACAGTTATCACTTGAGTATTGGCATGGCGCCTTTTGAGGCTTTGTATGGCTGAGGTGTAGGACTTCATTATGTTGGTATTAGGAAGGTGAGTCAATAGTGTTTGGTCCAAAGTTAGTTCTTTAGACTACTGAGATGGTGAGATAGATTCAGGAAAGGTTGAGGGCTACCCAAAGTCGACAAAAGTCCTAGCTGATAGGAGGAGGAGACCTCTAGAGTTTAAAGAGGGAGAACATGTGTTTCACATTTCACAGTTGAGGAAGTAAATCAAAGACCTGAGTCAAGTGGTAGATATGGATGAGGTGCAAGTTAGAGAGAACTTGACCTATGAGAAGAGACTGGTAGCTGTGATTGATCACAAGTTGAAGAAGCTTCGTTGCAAGTCCATCAGCTTGGTAAGGATTGTTTGGGATGCAACTACTGGTGAGGTTACCTAGGAGGTGGAGAGTCAGTTTAAGGAACAGTATTCATTCCTCTCTTCAGGTAGACCTATTTTCAGGGACGAAAATTCCTGATTGTTGGGGAGTATTGTAACGTGAAAAAAAAATATAGGTGATTTAGTAGTCCAGAAAGGGTCGTTCCCAATCTGGAACGTGTCATTCCAAGCTACTGAATTGATCTATAAAACGTATCTGAGAACGGGCCGTTTTGGAGGGAGAACGGGCCGTTCCAAATATCAAAACGGCCCTTCTGGTACTCATCCAGAACGGCCCGTTCTCTATCCAGAACGGCCCGTACTCCCTCCAGAACGGCCCATTCTCCATCCAGAACGGCCCGTACTCCCTCCGGAACGGCCTGTTCTCCATGTAGAACGGCCCGTTCTCCAACTAGAATGTCCCGTTTTGGAATTTGGAACGGCCCGTTCTCCCTCCAGAACAACATGTTCTCATATACGTTTTATTCTAATCTTAATGGACTCAAGCCCATTAACAGACCCATCAGTGAATAAATAGCTCATTAATGTTAATGTATTCGATTATGTATTACTACACTTCTTGGGTGTGACTATATCGAAGAGTCTTCTATTCTTTTTTTTTTATTGTTCTAATATCCATATCCTTATCTGGTATACAACTTATTTGAATTATAATATAAAAGATGTATTTAGTAAAGTTAACTTATGTAAATTTACTAAAAGCTTATAAATTAGAAATTAATTGATTAATAAAATTGTTAATAAATTAACTAATTAATGTAAAATAACATAAAATGACATTTACATTTTAATAATAAAGTAACATAATATAAGGTAGACAAAATAATTTTTAAATTAAGAATGATAAAAAAAATATTTTAAATAAATTTATAAAAAATAAAGAAATATAAAAACTAAAAATTTATAAATCATAACCTACTTCAATTAACTATAAAAATAAGCTAAAAACTCTTAACTTATTTTTTCATATAAAATAAGTTTATTTTAAACTAACTTATAAATTAGTAAATTAGTTAAAAAAAATATAAGTTTTCGAGATGTTTTGTCGGTTCACAAACCCACTCAAACAGCCAAAATATCATGTTATCCATGACAAAGATAAACACTTTTTTAATGTTAAATCTAGTCTATATAAAAATAGTATATTTAAAATTAAAATAAAATATGAAAGTTTATAAAATAAAAAATAATTAGATGTTAGACGAAATTGTGAAAAATATAACAAGAAATATACTGACATGGTTTATTTTGCTTGAGACACGACACGAGTTCCTTATCAGAAGGTGAAGCGGAAATCTGGGTAGGTAATAATGGTGACAGAGGCTATGCTGCAGCTGGGTATCTTAATCCTAACCCTATCACTCTTCTTCATCATGCACAATATCCGCAACCAAATAACCCGACCCACAAACCGAACCCGAACTCGCAACAATAACCGCCAACCCGACCCCAACCGCCACCTGGCCCAAGCATCGCGCCACCTGGCCCGAGCCCGATCCACCTCGCACCGAGCCCACCACGCCAAGACCGCCCTCATGGAAACCGACCGGGCCCTCTCCGTCTGGCCCAGGGACCCGTGGGCCCACATCCTCCGCGCCCAGGCCCTCCAGCTGATGGGGCACCGCGCCGCCGCGATTAAGTCCCTTGACGCCGCCCTCTCCTCGCCAGCGGCCAAGTCCCTCTCCGCCGCGGAGCGCGCCGGGGCGCTGGTGAGGAGGGCGGAGCTGAAGGTGGGCGTGAATCGGCGGCGGCGAGTTGACTCGGGCATAGAGGATTTGGTGGAAGCGGTGGGACTGAGTGGGAATGACTCGGAGGCGCTGTGTCTGCTGGGGAAGTGTTACGAATGGAAAGGAATGAAATCGGAGGCTGAGGATGCGTTCCAGAAGGTTCTTGAAATTGACCCCGATTCGGAGGAAGCTCGAACTGGCTTGGATCGATTACGACTTCTTTCGGATCAAAAATTATGATTATTCATTTTTTTTTTTTGGTTATTATTCGTATTTGTATTACTTTCGGTTCATCTTTTGCGATTCCGATGTATAAAAAAGATTTTTGTTTGGACTTTGATTACTTTTAGTTCCTTTTTGCAGTGCAGTATACGTTATTTGGGGACTCATTATTCGGGGAATGTATGAAGTATCTATTAGTAGATGTTACATTAAGGATGTTTCAAGGACACCTCTCAACAAGTCTATGCAAGATAACAATGGAAAGACGTGTTGCATATTAAAGTTTGATATGAAGTTTGTCATGCTCAAAATCAAAATTTGGGAGATTGTTGCATTTAAAAAAAAAACAAAAGAAAAAAAAAGACTACAAGTGTTTAAAAATGAAAAAAAAATGTTTTTTAACATCAAAAAGAAGTTTATAATATCAAGAGAACAATTTAGAATCTCTTTAGACGATTTGAGTTTTGATGATCACAAACATTTCTTTAAACAGTTTAGAGTGTTTCTAAAATGCCTTTTATAATAACAAGAACGTTGTTTAAAGTTTTTCAAAAAAAAGTATTATAGTAGAAGTAGTAACATACTTCGTTTGTAAGACAAAATACACCAGACAAAACATATAATCATAAATAAATATCATATTTATTTCTTGTTATATTGTCAAACTATTTCTTAAAAAAATATTACTTTATTTCTTAACAGATCAAATAAGGAAGGATTATCAAAGAGAACAAAAGCTTTTAAAAATGAAACATCAAATCATTGTGTAAGAATAGAAAGAGAAAATATTGGATATCTCGTGCAAGACATTGAAAAGGGCGGCTCTGCTCCGACACCACTCTTTACTGCACTCAAAAGTAGAAGAAAGAGATGATAAGTAACTACGTAGATTAGATAGGAGATATACACATCTATGATCAACATTTAATGCTCACATTAAATGCATCTACAGTACCCTCAAAGGAACAATTGGGAAGACAGATAAAGTAACTCAAGGAAATTTGAACGTTTAAATTTTGAACGTTGTTATAATGGCCATCTTCACTGAAGTTACTATATAAGGGTCAAGCCTTCAAACAAAAGAAGTAGATAGAGTGGACTAAGAGACAAGTAAGAATGTACAATGTGAAATAAGAAATAAATATATGAAGCTCTACAAAGAAAACCTTTATAGCAAATCTTGTATAGAATTCTTTGTAGACTACTTGTGCCAAAATTGTATAGCATCATGTCTAGAAGAGACAAAATTATTTTGTAACTCTTATCAATTGTATTTGTAAGGGTTAAACCTGGAGAGACTTGTTTAAAAGAATACTTAGTGGTTAAGCCTAAAGAGACTTGTTTAAAAGAATATTTGGGCAACCAGAAGTGACTTGGTAAAGAATACTTATATCTTGTTGAAGATAGTAAAACTGATACAGTATGTATCAGATGTACCTATAATAGAAATAGAAAATAACAGAATAAAGAGAAAAGAGACGAGGTTTCCAGAGAGCAAGGCTCTCCCAAGCAAGAGAGGGGTATCTCTCTGCTCCCAATATCATTAACCAAATTCCAAAAAGATATTCCATCATTATTACAAAGAGAATATATATAACCAACCCTCACTTTATAATAACAGATTCTGCAATTTCCAAAATACCCTTCCCCAACTAATAGTAGTCTCACTAAACACTCAGTATTGGGTTTTATTCTTGGGCCTCCGACTATAGACCTGAATGGGTTTGCTCCACTTGGAGGAATATTTTCTATCAATACCGTGTTCCACAAAATTAGCCTTGTCCTCAAGGCTAAGACCCGAAAATTTGGCACGAATTTCATCAGCAGACTCCTAAGTGGCCTTTTCAACAGGTTGTGATTTCCAAAGGATGAGCCATTCTGCAAAATCAGAGGAATTCTTGCCTTCTCGTATTGCCAACACTGTCTTTAGTGCTAGAAAATCCTCATCGGCAGAAATAAGACCAGGGGGCATGGAAGATAAAGAGAATCCCTTGGTAATAGAGCGTTTGAGTTGGGACACATGGAAAACCGGGTGAATTTGAGCTATATTTGGAAGCTGCAACTTGTAAGCTACAGCTCCCACCTTAGACAGAATTTGAAATGGCCCATAATAGTGAGGAGACAACTTGGGATTGATGCGACGAGCAACTGAGAGTTGGCAATGAGGGTGGAGCTTAACATATGCCCAATCACCCACACTAAATTCCAGTTGTCGACAATGCTTGTTAGCATGCTTCTTCATGGTTTGCTGGGCCCGATGAAGATGGTATTTCAATTGTCGGAGTGCCTCATCTCGATCATTCAAAACAGTAGCAACTAAGTCTACTTGAGTCTCACTAGGGAGGTACTAGATAATAGAGGGTGGAGGACGACCATAGACAATCTCAAAAGGGGTTGAACCTATAACTGTATGAGTGGAGGTGTTATACCAAAATTCAGCCCAAAAGAGCCACATGTACCATTTGGCTGGTTTTTCGGAGGAAAAACATCGTAAGAATGTTTCCAAACAACGATTCACCACTTCTATTTGTCCATCTTTTTGTGGATGATATGAGGTGCTCATTCGCAACACAGTACCTTGAAGGAAAAATAATTCTCTCCAAAAGCGACTCAAGAAAAGGGGATCCCTATCATTTATGATAGACTTAGGAAAACCATGTAACTTCGCCACCTCGCAGACAAACACTTCTACAACATTCTTTGCAGTGAAAGGATGCTTTAATGGAAGTAAATGTGCATATTTGAATAGCCTATCCACGTCCACCAGTATCACCTCAAATCCATGTGAACGTGGAAGACCCGTGATAAAATCAAGAGAAATATCTTCCCAAACAGCATGAGGGATGGGGATGGGTTGCAACAACCCAGCTGGAGACATAGCTTCATATTTGTTACGTTGACAAGTTTCACATTCACGCATATATGTCATAATGGCCTGTTTCATTCCCTTCCAAAAGAAGCTGCCAACAAGGCGCTTATACGTCTTATTAAACCCTGAGTGTCCTTCCATCATTGTTGCATGATATTCTTTTAGAAGAGTAAGGATGAAGGTGGAAGTTGCCAGAAGCACCAACCTACCTTTGAAGAATAGATACACATCGTGCCAAGTGTAATTAGTATTAGGAACCTCACCAGCCAGGATCTGGTCTCTCAACTTAATCAACTCAAGATCTTGTTGAATCTCATCATGAACCTTTGGAAAGTCTGTCCAAAAAGGGCTCATAGCAATCGTGTGTAATTCAGCAAATTCCATTTGTCTAGACAAGGCATCCGCAACTTTGTTTTCTGGACTGGGCTTATATATAACTTCAAATTGGAACCCCATAAGTTTCACAAGCCAACGTTGTTGATCTATGGTGGTCAAATGCTGCTGAAGGAGGTGGCGTAGACTACTATGGTCAGTAAACACTTTGAAGCTTCTTCCCAACAAATAGTGGTGCTAGTGTTGCACTGCTAACGCCAATGCCATTATTTCCTTCTCATAAACGACTTAGCTTGATTTGTTGTACTAAGGGCCTTGCTAAAATAAGCAATTGGTTGTTGTTGTTGTTGCATTAACACTGCTCCAATTCCCCTTCCTAATGCATCACATTCAATGACAAATTCTTGCTGAAAATCAGGTAATGCCAAAACAGGATAAGACGCAAGACATTGTTTCAATCGGGTGAATGCCTCGTCTTGTTCAACTCCCCAATGGAACCCATCCTTCTTGGTTAAAGCAATAAGTGATTGGGCAATTTTTCCATAATCCTTGATGAATCGACGATAATAACCAGCGAGACCTAAGACCCCCTGTACCTCCTTGATAATAGTAAGTAACGGCCAATACACAATATCTTGGACTTTGTTGGGATCCATTTGAACTCCGCGGGCGGTGATCACATGACCTATATAATCTATTGAGGACAAGCCGAAAGAGCATTTATTCCTGTTCGCCACAAAAGAATGTGTTTCCAGTAGAGACAAGACCTCGTGCACGTGGGTCAAATGTGTACCCCAATCTGGATTAAAAACAAGGTTATCATAAAAAAAATGAGAACGAAACGATGCAAAAGGGTACGAAATACCATGTTCATTGTTGCTTGGAAAGTGGATGGAGCACTGACTAGTCCAAAAGGCATAACCAGGTATTCATAATGCCCCTCGTGGGTTCGAAAAACGGTCTTGGAAACATCAGCGTCCCGCATTCGAATTTGGTGGAAGCTCGACTTAAGGTCTATCTTAGAGAAGACTTTGGATCCATGAAGCTCATCAAATTAGTTCATTAATGGTAGGAATAGGATATTTATCCAACACGATCACCTTGTTTAAGGCTCAAAAATCCACGCACATCCTCCAAGAGTCATCCTTCTTCTTAACCAAAATTACTGGACTAGAGAATGGGCTCACTAAGTGATGTATAACCCCTTCTGCAAAAAGTTCGCGCACTTGATGCTCAATCTCATCCTTATTATGATAAGCATATCGATACGGTCGGACACTAACTGGCTTGCTCTCTAGAAATAAATTGATTGCATGGTCATGAGATCGTTTGGGTGGAAGTCCTATGCACGGTTGGAAGACAATTTCATGTGTGATTAAGACATTGCACAATTCTGACGAGAGATCTTTCTGACTCGAGGCAAGAGGGTCTTCATTAATGACCAATTCTTGAAGCACTCCTTGTAGAGTTGGTATGATAGAAGAGCCACGGAGATGTTGTCCTTGGAGAGTAACGACCTCTCCCTTATCACTGAAGCTAACAGTCTTTCGACACCAATCAATGGTAGTGCGCCCTATAGTTTCTAACCACGACATTCCCAACATGATGTCAATGCCCCCAAGATCCAACATATAAGTGTCCATAGAGAGGAAATAGTGGCTAACCTTAACTCGAATAGCTCTACTAAGCCCTACGAGTAACACTTTGATCCATTTCCCAATCCCACCCAAAAGGAATCTGTGGGAGTTACTACAAGATTAAGAGAAGCCACAAGTTCATGAATCACGAATTTGTGGGTAGCACCACTATCTACCAAAAGAAGGATCGAGTACCCCTTCAACTCTCCATCAAACTTGATAGTTTTTTCCTAAGAAAGATCCCCTGATTCCAATGCTCGATAGTCCAATGTTTGACATTGC